TCCAGATTCCACAGAAACCCTACGCTACCCCAAGAACCTCAACGAAGGGGAGGACCCCGGTCCCCTTTCCCCTACCAGAACTGGCGCCTGGGGGAAAAAATCCCAAAGACCAAAAAGAGGAAGGGCAAAAAGGAGGGGGGGGAGGGAAGGAGGAAAGGGAAAAGGGGGGATGGGATGGGGAAGGGGGAAAATTGGGGGTAATTAGGCAGTCGAGGAAGGAACAACGGTCAATTCCTCAGACCAAGACCTCTTCACCACCCAAGGACCCCCCTTTGAAGAGACACTGACATAAAATATCCCAAACCGCTTCAAACAGTGCTGCGGGATATTCAGGTCCTTTTTGGTGAAAGGGCTGCTTTTTTTAGCCAACATGGAATGCTTAAGAAAACTGTTCATTGTTAACTTTTTATCTGCGGGTTGTTTTTCCCATCTTTTATGTTACTGCCTTCCTTGTATCCTGCTGATTTTCCCCCAACATTTTTTTTCGGGCTTCTTTCTTTATCTTTTAGGGGTTCATTCACTCACCAGCTCTATTCTTCAAAACCCACGCCTGGCAATCCCTTCCCCCTGACAGTATCCATTCGGAAGAGTTTTTTTGCATAACTTTTTGTGCAGTTGCATTAAATTCTTAATAAATTTTTAGTCCGTGATTTTTACAAAGATGATTTGGTTTAAAACCCCTTTTAGGTCGTGCCATAGATCACGGCTAACATTTAGGGTCCCCAACCATAGATTCAAACCCTGACCAGCCACTCTGATAAGCTTTAGCGTAAATTTGGGCCTAGATATGAGGAAAAATACAGGGGAGTGTGCACCACATAAAAAAAATCCTGCAGCGCACAGTGCAAATGAAGAAAAAAAAAAAGAGACCGAAATTTTTTGATTAAAAACAGCGGCTTTGCAGTGTTTTTTCTATGTCTTTTTTTAGTTGATTTATTATTTCTTGTCTCTTTGATAGAAGGAAGCTATTACAGAAAAGAGATAATTTTTTTGGTTTTTGTAATGGAAATGGGTTTTTAAAACCAACTCAAAATAAGAAATGTTAAATTTTTGCCGATGTTCAAATAAACAAATGACCCCACACGTCTAATACATCCAGCTGGTGGTCAAAAACATTCAAATGTGAGAAGTATTTATACAATTATTACAGTATTGCATAATATAAATCTTTATTTTTTGGTTTGAATAAAAATTTATTTGTGAAAAAAAATAAAAATGGAATTCATTTGAAAGCCTCAAAACTAACTAAAGAACAAGGAAAAGTTTGTTTAGTGCCAGGAAAGCCGCATTGTTTTTTCTGGACCCTTTTTTTTGAAATTTAAAATTTGAACTTTTCATTAATTGGCCAAATTTAAAAAATTTCCGATCACCATTTTGTAGTTGAAACCCCTTGACTTGGTGATTTCTTGAGCTAATCGAAGAAGTAACATATGAAAAGCTAAAAATTTGCGACTGGAGTAATTTAAAATTGGGGCCCAAAATGGGGGTCAAAATCGGCAAAATCGCCGATGCATAAAAATCGCTGACACACAAAATTCACCGCATAATTTCGCAATTTCCATCAAATTTTGTCTTTTTTTTTTATTACCTTTAGAAAAAGATTCTCTACCATTTCATAAAAAAAATAACAAAATTTTTTTGAAAATTTTTGGACACTGGTTGCACTTTGAAATTTGGGCCCTTTTGGGCCCTGAAAGGGTTAAAAAAAAAAAACTTTATATTTTGGGGTTTCACTCCTTCAAAAGTTTTAGATATACCTCTTTAAGGGGGGGGCCCTTTGGGACGGGGAAGAGGCTTTTGGTCTGAGGAATTTGACCTTCGGGCCCTTCCCCCAACCGAACCTAATTACCCCCCAACCCCCCCCCCCCTATCCCATCCTCCCCTTTTTTTTTTCCTCCTCCTCCTCCCCCCCACCCCCCCCTTTTTTTGCCCTTCCTCTTTTTGACCTTTTT